TGTCTCACACACATATATACATATACATACTTACATACAGAGAGAGAGAGATATATATATATATATATATATATATATATATATATACTCATTCATTCACTACCTAAGCCGCTCGCACCCACATCACATTCATCCTTCCACGACTAACAAACGCCGAACCACACTTCCGGCTTGAATAATTTTGCGCTCGGAGTGGTTCGCGACACATGTTACGTTAGCTCGAAAGATTTCGTAAGTGCGCCCCTAGTGGCTGGAAGTTACAACACACCTTTGACTGCGTAGGAGTTCGGCTACAACCGACGTAATACCAAAAAAGCTGTTCGTCACATACCACTTCTTCTGGATGAATTTTGTACGTCATGTAACAATGTTACAGTGCATTTTGGTGAAAAAACACTATCAATACTACTAATAAAAACTAGTAACAAAAAAAAACACTGCAGTGTACTAACAAAACTAACGACATCAGTATTGTTAAACGTGACTAAACTGGTTTAATAAAGAATAATAATTAGTTAAACGCCAGTTTATGGTTTGTGGTACTTTACCATCCTGAAAAACACCAACATAAATAAATAAATTCATAAAATCAAGTAAGACATAGCATGTGGTATAAATGAAATCAGGGCTGATCCTGGATGTTCTGGCACCGCAGGCAAGATTCTGTTGAGCCCTCCTATCTCCAGACCAGCAGTATATCAAATTTTGTCAGTTCATTTATAAGTTATTAAAAACATTTCAATAGCCCAGGGTATCTAGCTGCCAACTATCTGGCTCACATTTGTACATTGTAGTAAAATATAAAAACTAGTGCAAATAACTGTATTGTCACTTTTTTCACTCGCCCTTTTGCACCCCCTAATTAAATGGCACCCTAGGTGGAGGCCTATCTCACCTGTAGGGCAGGCTGACCCTGCCTGAAATGGTGACAATAATTATTGCTCCTAAAAATTGTCTAGCTGCATATATACATTGCTAAAAACATTCCATGCTAACATTTTTGAATAAACTATTTGCTAAGTAACAAATGACTAACCTACATTTTGGATAATGCACATCCACAGATACAGCCAGCAAAGAGGTAGTTCAATTGCTTCTTAATCCTAAATTCAACATCTACCTCTCATAACCCAGGTAAAAAAAAAAAGAAAGGTAGGGAGCGACTCACCTGAGACGGCTGGGGAAATTCAGAATCTCTTCTGTGATACAAAAACCCCTCTGCAGCATCTAGCATTATCAAAGACACTCAGCTCCTATGCCATGAACTGTTCCAGGTGCCTGGAGCCTTATGGCTGGGACTGAGAGGCTAGGGAAAGCCTCTACTCCCTGCTATAAGTCATAACCACAACTGGCACTTTCAATATTTTCAGATATATTTAACTTTGTCATTTCACTGCTGGTGTACCAGATCATACATGCATGTAACAAAATCGTGAATCTACAAATTCGTTCTGGAAGAGCTGGTAGCTCAGCGGACACCACTGCTGACTGTTCTGATTGTATTAAACTCTTAAATCCTGCTGAAATAGTTCTGCTGTTTCTTTAGTCAAAAGACAAGCAATCTTGCCAGTTTTATACTGATGAACAAAACACAGCATACAGGACAAGGGTGCTAAAAAGAATGATAGTTTATTTGAAAATATAGAACACAAACAGGAACCAGACCATCAAAGGGAAGATCAATAAACAAATGCAACAATAAATTATTTAATTCATTGTGTTTTCTAAGGTACAGTATTCAACTGTGAAACATTAGATGAAAGCACGTGTGAACTTTGAGGTTGTCATCTAGCTGTTAGACTCTCAAACGCGACATTTATATTTAATTGCACATGCAGTGTAAATAACCAATAAACAACTGTTTCATATGCAGGTGCTTGTGGAATGGTATGACTCCTCTCTGTAGACCAGTTTCCCCAGCATTGAACCCTCCCCCTGCAAAATGCTTCTCACATCAATAAAGGGGGTAAATCCTGTTTGTCTCCGTTTAAGGTTATTGGATGGTGAAGCTGGACCATCAGCAGCATATTTAAGCTGTAATATTCTCTCTCCCCGTCCCCTATTCCGTTGACCTTCTATTTGAATCCATGATGCCTAGAGGCTCCAGACAGCTTGAGTTCTTCCGGCTCACTCAAAGCTGAGTTTGACTTGCACACTAAGATCCTGATCTGCCCAGCTTTTGCACCAGTCCAGATACAAATTTTCCCAAGAGTAAAAAAGTAAAGAACTAAAACACCAACATAAGACAAGTTTGGCGAATACAAGTTTTAATTAAATCTGAAACAATGATAAATTTAAAACACAGTGAAACTGAATTGGTTAGAATTTTAGCATAAATTGTGGACTGATGCAAAAGCTGAGAACTTACATGCCACTTGGTGCCAAACAGGAGTAACATGCAAAGAAGGGCAAAATCAGAGCCTGAGTCTCCAGCAGGCATCAGGTCCCTCCCTGCTTCGCTTCTGTAGCCCGAGGAATTTCCCCTCCATCCAGTATGAGCACCAACTATAAAGTTTCTCCCCACCTTGGCCCTCTTTTAACTGTGACAACACTGACTTATAATAATGTCAATCCACAGATGCTTAAATACATGTATTATCAGACAGCCCTGGATATTATAACAGACTATCAAATTTACTTAAATCTATATTATGCTTCAATATCTCTATGTATTTATACAATTAATTTCCAAAGGGGTTATAACAGCTCAAAAGATCTAAAAGGCGAGGTATTAAGAATTCCATGTGGCACTAATTGCTGCATTTTAAAGCTTAAAAAACTCACCTTCAATTTTAGCAATTATTTCACCATAGAACTTTAAATAAATTTATATAATCAGACATTTGTAACATACAGAAAACGAACTTTGGAATAAGTTGAAATCACTAGTGTTTATGTTTACACTCTAATTGGGCAGAACACATTTATATAACCATTTCCCCTCTTCTCAGACAGCAGCTGATACTCTTTAAAAAACAATATTTACAAACTTGTTCTTAAAATCTAACACAGACTACAGCAAGAACTTAAAGCATGGAAAAATATTGACACATTCTTATTTTATTCATTAGCAAGACCTGGCTTATATCAACAGTTTTCCAGTAAGAGAAGAGCTTTCACTGAATGTGCCCTGTGTAAGGCCCTAAATGGACTATTCCCACTAGGCTAAACCAAATGCCCCTGGGGTGGGGGGGTACTGTCTACAATGTTAAACATGAGAATTATGGGGTTAAGAAGGGCATATTTATTGTAACTGTTAGCAACCAAAAAACGAGGCATTAATGAACTGTATGAAAGATAATTTCTCGGTCGAATTCCCGATTGCCTGGGTAAACAGAAAACAGCACACTGTTTGAGGTTTACACACCCCTGTTCTAAATAACCTAAACAGCCTGAAGAATTTCTATGTGACCCAACAATAACGTAAATTTAAAAAAAAAAATCTGTTACCCGCTTCTTTTCAAACAGTCAAATGCAAATACAAAAATCGCTGGCCAAAATAATTTTGCTCTTCTCCATCCTTCACAATAACTGCTACAAATTACATAACCTGTCACTTGCAGTATTAGAGTACCGAGAACACACTGCAGAAGTCAGTTTTCTTGTAGTGTAGGTCTTTGCTTGGTAGCTGGGCAAAACACCAGATGATACAAAGTGTCTGGACTTCCTGGCCAGTAGAGGGCAGCCTTCGCTGTACACGCAAGTCCTTGGGCATGTCTAAGGTACCGTTCCTTGCATCCAAATGTAATATTGCCTGTCATTTTATGAACAGAACATAAAAGGCCATGGCAAAGCAGGAGAGTGCCACACCTAGATGAAGTCTCGTCCCAATCACTGCAGCTGTATGTACAGAAAAAGACAAGCACAGCAGGAAAAACGTGAGCTGGGACTGGTCACACCACCTCAGCCACTGCAGCTAAAATCGAACTGAGGTAAACACAGCATATAAGTTTTTATAAGATGTCTATTAAAACCACAGTAGTTTTCAAAGTCCCACTGAACTGATTAGAGTTTTTTTTATATATATAACAACATGTAAAAAGCATGAACAAGCCTGGAGATAAAAGAAAGCAGAGCTTAAACCATATACTGAGTAATTACCATATTACTAAGTCATTCACTGTGTGCTTTAACCTAGTACCGGTTATTTTGTTGTTTCCCATTGGGTTTCTCTAGGTAGTAACTAACAGTACATACTTAACCACACCCTCCTCAGGTTTTGAACCCCAACTGACCGTCACCTGTTTTTTTTTTTTTTTAAAGTTATTTTGTGAGCCCAGGATGGTATCAGGCAATTCAGCTAAAACAAACAGTAAATGCATTACATTACATTGTTTTTGTTTTGCATTGTAACATGAGCTTTTTTGCGGCTAGTGGCTTTCAAATGATAAACTGAAAGTTCAGGTGCTGGAAAAAAATGAAAATGTTACTATAATGAGGATGATGAGATTTCCTGTGGCTGTATCTCACTGTGCAATTTAAAACCTTGTCTGTTTACAGTTTCAACAACTACTCCATCTGTTACCTTTGCTATATTTCCCATCGTGACATTAGGTAGCTAATGTCCTGGTCAGTCAGCTGAATAGATTTCTCATCTACAGCAGCTTCAACCAAATGAACACATTAAACAGGCCTATGTAACTGGACCTTAAGTATGTAACATTTTGTCAACTGAATGCAGTGTTTAGCTGTAACATCTCCCATTGCTGGTGTCTCTTCACATTTAGTCTATTGGATGTATTATGTATTATTATTATTATTATTATTTCATACCTTTATAGAAAACGCCCCAAACACCTTTCTTCTCTGAGAGTAGCCAATTCTTCAGGCGAGGTACTTTCCTTAGGTAGGCACAGGTGCAGATGAACAGGAGCCCGAACACCAGGATGCCATCGAATGAGTACACTGTACAGGGACAAAACATGCGGACAAAAATCTATCCACATTTCATTACGGTCAAATCGACCCATGTTAGCCATTTGACCACTCCTCTTAAACAGAAAATAACTAGTTGGTTACCGGAATCTCGCAAACTTGATAACAGATATTCACGAAACTGCCACTTCCCGGGTCACCCATTTTGTTGCCCCACTGAAACTCTTTCATCCAAGTGAACTGTTAATTACAAAAGAAGTCAAAATAAAGAATATGGTCTGCTGCTGACGCCCAGTCAGGATGTTATGGCTCACGCCACTTACCGCTTAGTAAGCATTGATTCGTTTTACCGGGTACGTAGCTTAGCCATGTCGGTGTAGGCTAAACGGAGTTTACTTGTGCTTTATTGTATAAACACCCGCCCGTTGTCACTTGCTGTTTAGATAGACAAAATAGCACATAATGTGATATTCTTCTGAAAAAGACAACCAGTCTACAGCATAATTGTTGTAACAACAAAGCCACGTCCTCAGACATACTTATTTCCTGCTATTATTTCCTTCGCGAAAGGGACCGGAGTCAGAAAACCGAACTGCTAACGTCAACGCTACGGTAAAACGTAACTTAAGTACCCACCGTTCGTCATGCTCGCAGTTTGTTTTAGATATTCGCAAAAATCCCTGTACTTTAGATCCTCTGAATCTTTTCTCAACGTTTCATTTCTCTCGTTCTTCTACGTTGACAGTAAACACTCAGGCCAGACTAAACACGCACAGATATTAGTCAGCCTGTCAGGGAAAAGCAGCAGAACACAGATAAAACCACCGGTTTCCGAGTTCCGCAAGGGACATTACAAAGGGTAATGTAATGTTAAAATAGCGAAAATATTTCATCATTCACAGAGGGAGCACTGCTGTTGTACTCAAGAAAAAGATGCTTTACTATAAACACGTTATTAAAACACATTTATATCAATGCGACTCCGTACTTCAGATTTAATAAAATGCTATTGAAAAAGTTTGGGTTTACACCAAATGTCTAGCTTTCCCTTTCAATAGAGAGTAACTAACTAAAGTGGAAGTGAACAAAAGGTGTATAGGGGACACCACATGTATATGCGAAAGGGAATGACCGAAGGCTCCCGGGAAACAGAGCTGGTTCAGGCTTTGAATACAGCCTCCATGTTCCCAGCTCAGACCATCTTGCTGTCCAGCTGCATTACGTATTGCGACCTCTGTTCCCTTGATGGAGACTGGTGTCTTGGAGGACTTCTGTTTCCTAAAATCCACTACCAGTTTTTTTTTTTGGTCATTGTGCTGTTAAGCTGCAAGTGGTTTAGCTAACACGCCTCAGCAAAGCTTCTCCCCACACCTCTGTACTCTGCCCCTGTCCATTGTTTTCATTTGCCACAACAGCAGACTCAGCTTACAAACCTCTGCAGCTGACAGGTATCCAACTTGTAGAGGTCAGAGGTGCAGAGCGTGAACAGAAAATGCAGCATTACCATCCCCTGAGGTGTAGAACATGAACAGAAAATGCAACAGTACCATCCCCTGACGTGTACAACATGAACAGAAATGCAACAGTACCATCCCCCGAGGTGCAGAGCGTGAAAACAGAAAATGCAACAGTATTGTCCCCATAGGTGTAGAACGTGAACAGGAAATGCAACAGTAGTGTTCCCTGAGGTTGAATGTGAACAGAAAATGCGACAGTACTGCTCCCTGAGGTGTAGAGTGTGAACAGAAAATGCAACAATTCCGTCCCCTGAGGGGGCCCCATGTTGCTCACTGTGGTATCTGACATGTAGTTCTACAGTCTCACATTCTCTGGCCTACCAATTAGGAAGTTCATTTTCCAAGAGACCATTGGCTCCTCCACTTGCATCTTGCTGACCTTACTTTCTATTAAATCTGGTCTGGTAGTATTAAAAGCACCGGAGAAGTAAAAAGCAAGGCTCTCACACTGCTGCCTGCCATACTGAATACAAAATGTAATTACATTTTATTTAGTTGGCAGATGCTATTATCCAAAGTGATGTATAATTGAGAAGACAGAGTCAGGCAGTCCCTGGAGCAGCTAGGGTTATGGGACTTCTTCAGATGGTGAATGGTGAAGTCATTCTGCTGGTTCTGGGATCTGAACCTACAACCTTCCACTCCTAAGCCCAGCTTCCTAACCCGCTTAACCACATCAGTGGCCAACTTGCTTAGGGCACAAGTTCTTATAATCAATTTATGCTTCATCCGTCCATTCATTTTCTGAAACTGCTTGTCCTGTTTAGGGTCACAGGGGCTATCCTTGGGGCTGGGATGAGGTTGGGAATAACCCAGGATGGGGTGCCAACCCATCACAGGGCACACTCATGCACCAGTCAGATAGAGATGCACACAGTGTTGGGCATTTCAGGTCCAGAATCTACAACGTGACATAGGGAGAACATGCAAACTCCACACACACGGAAGCTAGAACGTGACATAGGGAGAACATGCAAACACCACACACACGGAAGCTAGAACGTGACATAGGGAGAACATGCAAACTCCACACACAGAAGCTAGAATGTGACATAGGAAGAACATGCAAACTCCACACACGGAAGCTAGAATGTGACATAGGAAGAACATGCAAACTCCACACACACGGAATCCAGGTGTGAGGCGACAGTGCTAATCACTTCAGCACTGTACCACTTCCATATATGTTTCATTCAACTGTTATTCAACAAATAATCATGTTTCTGTCTGATGTACAAACAAACCAAATTAACTTAAAATGACTCATATTACATTCTGAATGTACAAACATAATACTAATCCTTAAGACCATAAACCATTAAGAAATGTAACATCTCTGTTACTTAATAGGTTTTTGTGACAAAAAAATGCATATTAGGTTCTGAGTGCCATTGATGAATGAACCAACTTCATGAGAATCACATCCAATCGACTAGTCAGAAACTTAACTGTCCCATATGGATTGGGAACAGGAGGAGAAGATGGGGACTGTGACACCGATTGGTTTGGAACAAAAGAAATGCTATTTCAGCGCCAATGTGGATACAAAGGGGCAGAAAATCGCTCTATGGAAGCATAACCACTGCAGCAAAGCTTTTCTGCTGAAAGAAAAAATAGAGGTTTATTTTATATTACCAGTGATTAGACACTCGTAGCTGAACAGGGTACTCATCAGATTTTGGCCCACCATAGAACATCCACCGCACACTGTTTTACAACCTCATTACTGATTTTCAATTTAATTTGGCTAACAACAGACAACAATGGCACTGTGGAATGCTGGGGTTTGACGGCTTTAGATTTCTATGCAGATTTGAAGGGTTTTTCTTCCACAAACAGTCTGAAAAAGGGAGAGTCCCAGGCTCAGCCCACAGGTTGATCACCCACTGGGCAAGTGTTTGCTTAAGAAAACAATTCAAGGAATGAAGGTCCCCTTCCATCCCGCATGTGGCTTCTTGTCCAGTTCAGGGACTCTTCATAATGACAATGAGATGCTTTGGTACAGCCATTTTGAGAATATTCTATAGCTTGACATTCTCAACACAATCAAAGGCTCTGTTGTGTTCACAAAAGTACATTCTGGCCTCCCTGTACCGCTGCTGCTCCGCATTCTCTGCAGGTTTGGTCTGGCACCTCTCTTAAGACCTGCCTGCCTTGAGGGATCATGAAAGCAGTTGAAAACTCCAGGCAGCATAATTTGTTCAGTGACCTTTTGTCTATATTTTTTTCAGTTTAAAGCTGTGCCATATCAAATTAAAGCTGAAAGTATTCTGAGAAGATCTGGAATAAGAAACTGTTTAGAACATATTGGAGTTTGTTTCCTTAATCAGACTGCCATCTGCTGCCCACAGGGGATAGAACCAATCACCACCAGGGTTACTGCTAAGGTGGAGTAAAGCATATCAGGTGTAGTGAGCTGCATTCTGGACGGTCCAGCGGGTATCACTTACCGTCCACCCCCTAGCCACTGCAGGTGCCTTTACGTACACAATGACACATGGAGTGCGCTCGTATCTGTGTGTGCTGCCATCTGCTTCTTGCAGAATGTGATACCCCATGTCCGCCGTGCACATAGTGGTTAGCTTGGTAATCTTCTTTCAAGGGCACAAGAACCTCCCCTTAAGGGAGCCTGTGTGCTGTCTTGTTAAGCTACTGCTCTGCCTCTGTCTCCCTGGAAAGCTGTTAGCTGATATGCTGCCCTGCCGCGCTATGGAACAGGTAAAGAGTAGGGCTTTGGGGGTGTAACTGATATGCATGTTCAACAGGTTATCTAATAATGGATGGGGAGCCATATGTGGTGAGCAGTTCGACTCTTAAAAGCTGCTGTTTCTTAGAGCCTAGCAAGTTGACAGATTGCTGATGGTTGAAATGTACAGTGTTGGAATCGTCTTGAACTCTTTTCCTTAAGCATCTGGTTCCTGCATTTTAAATAGTTTCCGACTGATATTTATAATGTCAGTTGATATCACTTACTGTACACGTTCTTATAATAACAAATATATTCATTCCTGAATTAGAGCAAAAACCAGTCTGTAATATATCACAAAAACATTGTAGGTAACATTAATTTGTAATATATTATTGCAATTTGTATGTAGGTAACATATTGCTAATATAAAATTACAATATAGCAATGGTAAACACAATATTCATATAGACATTGTATTTTTTGTAAATCAATATTTTTTTAAGGAATTTTGGCAGCCAGAAACTAGTCATAGTTAACGGGGACTGATGGCTAACATACTATTGCTACTTTGCGGCTGGGTGTTTTGCCTGTTATTTTGTGAATTTTGTCACTATGTAGGTAAAGAAAACCAGTAACACAGTATAATAATAGCAGTCCTGTAATTACACTCTGTGTCCAGCAGGGAATGCTAAGCATGGCTCTGCTGGGGTTTGTGCCGGTGGTTTTATACCTGTGTACAGATAGAAATGACACTTTTTAGAACTTTTCGTAGCAAATGAAGAAATGCTAACTGTAGGGTCAAAATGATACAAGCAAAGCCATAACAAATAAAAAATTTAAAAAAAGCCATAACAAATAAAAAAAAATAGATATCTCTAAAGTATCATTCTGTAAGCATTTTGAGATATATATATATATCAACACTGATTTCTGAGCATTTTTTCCAAAGCATCAAGATAAAATAAGCATTTATTTAATTGCATAATCTTTTCTAAATAGGTACAGCATGTTTGTGTTTAAACATTGTTTCTTTCCTGAAGGTCTTTGGAAGTCGCAGGGGGTGACAATGAACTGCACCCACTCATTCAGACCATCGCAGTGCAGAGACTCCCAGGCTGCCAGCTGAGCTGCGTCACCATCACACCACGCCACAAGGTCTGCAGATACTGCAGTGTGTAGGTCAGCCGTGGGAGTCTAGCAGCTGCGGGGAGTCACAAAGCTTTCAAAGAAGGAAGCTACTGGCTTTGCTGCTCTACGGGCTTTGTGCAGTGTGCCACAGTGGCCCTGCTGGTGGTATTCGAGTTCCTGATGGCCTAACCAGAGAGGGAAGTGGGACGTATGTAATAAAACAGCTCCACACTTCCTTGCAGTAAATGTATTAATCTTGTAGACTTTAAAAGTTCATTATGAAAATAGTTCTCAAATAAAATTAGCTACTGGAAAAAAATGAAAAGAAACTGTATGACTATCAGGTATAATGTCTACATATATGAGTGTGAAGCAAAATATACTTATAACAAGATTAAAATGCAATAATCACTAGAGAGATCTGCACTGGATCAGCAAAATCTTAATACAGTAATTCTTAAGAATTCTTAAGAAAATGTTAAAGGACAACTTTGGTTCACACTGAGCCCAAACAGCTGCAGTATCCCTTAGCTTGTGCAGTTAGACTGAGTTTCCAGTTTCATCCATTAGTCCTAATGTTTAAGTTCAATAATTTTATTCTTGTAAATCATACAAGTCCATTCACGCACATGCATAGGTGTTTTATATGTGTTTTAGAATTATACAATCACTTACGTAAATTCTTTATTCAGTGGTAGAATAACACAGCTGTTTTGGGAACGTGAGTAAGTCACAACATCACCGGAAGTGACAGAGCAGTTAGAAGTAACTCTGTCAGCCCCAGGACAGCACCTGGGCCTCTACCTCAGAGTTCATCAGGCTCGGCCATGGAGTCGCCTGGGGGACTAGCCCACCGACCCAAAAGGACATTTGGGTCTACGGCGGAACCCCCCCGCTACCAGGACCTGCACCGGGAGCTGCTTCTCACTCACAAACGGTATGAATGGTAGTTCAGAACACAGCCAGAAAGACTGTGTATTGCGGGCACTGCATGGAGTACCTGTGGGAATGGTGTTAGAGACAGTGAGTCCACATTCATGCATGTGACACCACTGTCTCTGTGGAGGGGATTGTCTTCAGGGGCCAAGCCAGAGCTCCAGCAGCGCCTGGAGCAGCGGCGACTGAATCAGCACCGGGAGCAGGAGCAGGCGTTGCAGCCACTCTCTGATCTGGAGCAGGAGCTGCAGAAACGACAGAAGAAAATGCAGCAGGTGCCGCTCCCTCGCTGACACTACCCCAGTGCGGGGCCACCGCCTCGCTGACACTACCCCAGTGTGGGGCTACTGCCTCGCTGACACTACCCCAGTGCGGGGCCACCGCCTCGCTGACACTACACCAGTGCGGGGGCACTCCCTCACTGACACTACACCAGTGGGGGGCCACTCCCTCACTGACACTACCCCAGTGAGGGGCCACTCCCTCGCTGACACTACCCCAGTGCGGGGCCACTGCCTCGCTGACACTACACCAGTGAGGGGCCACTCCCTCGCAGTCATTACCCCAGTGCGGGGCCACTGCCTCACTGACACTACACCAGTGAGGGGCCACTGCCTCGCTGACACTACCCCAGTGCGGAGCCACTGCCTCACTGACACTACACCAGTGAGGGGCCACTCCCTCACTGACACTACCCCAGTGAGGGGCCACTCTCTCGCTGACACTACCCCAGTGCGGGGCCACTCCCTCACTGACACTACACCAGTGAGGGGCCATTCCCTCACTGACACTACCCCAGTGAGGGGCCACTCCCTCGCTGACACTACCCCAGTGCGGAGCCACTGCCTCGCTGACACTACACCAGTGAGGGGCCACTCCCTCGCAGTCATTACCCCAGTGCGGGGCCACTGCCTCACTAACACTACCCCAGTGCGGGGCCACTGCCTCGCTGACACTACACCAGTGAGGGGCCACTCCCTCGCAGTCATTACCCCAGTGAGGGGCCGTTCCCTCGCAGGCATTACCCCAATGAGGGGCCGTTCCCTCACAGTCGTTACCGCAGTGAGGGGCCGTTCCCTCGCAGTCGTTACGCCAGTGAGGGGCCGTTCGCTTGCAGACACTACCTCAGTGCAGGGCCACTCCTTAAAGCTCTCTGGGCTCTGCCTTTACACCAGCACAGATTTAGGGTTTCAAGGCAATAGAAAATGAGAACCTTAGACTCATGGAGCAGGAAAAAACCATCATTACTCATTATTCACAAATTTATATCCATCCATCTATCCACCCAGCTCAGGGTTAGCAGCAGCTAGTGCAGAAGGCATCCTGCTGACCCCCAGAGTTCTTTACTTATTAGTCAACCTTTTTGGTTACTGTTCCTCTGCTTCACTTCCACCTGCCTTTTTAGGTTTACTCAGTGTGCCATGTGTATGTATGAGTGTACATGCATGTGGGCATAATGTATATGTATGTGGGTATAATGCTCTCTGGGACACCCCCGTTGGAAAGGGCCCCTTGTAAAAATACAATGAAGTCTATACTAAATGTAGAAGGAGAGGGACAGGGAGGCCTATACCCATCCATCACAGCACACACAGCTGGTCAGAAAAATGAAGTGTCAGAGTATCTCGAACACATCCCTAAACAATACACTCTGCCACTCCTCTCCCTCAGGATGAGCTGGAAGCGATGAAGAGCAGGCAGGACCAGGAGAATGCTCCAGAGTTTGTGCGTGTCAAGGAGAAGCTACGCCATATCCAGCTGTCTGAGCAATAATGCCCCCAGAATCCCATAATACCCTGACAACTGCTGACATCACAACCACTGGCCTGCTCAAAAAAATGTCTCCTTATGGTATTAGTGGCGGACCCTGACAGGGGTAAGATGGGCAGTGACCCAGGGCAGCGTCCTACGAGGGGGCGGCAACTTAGCAAACCGCTGGCGTCAAACTGCCACCAATTTTACAGATTACATGTGGGGGGTGCCAGGAGTAAAGCTTGCCTGAAGGCCAAGTCATACTTTACTTTTCCGACGTGCGCTTTCAGTTGCATGGGGGACATAACGTAAATATCGTCATCAGGGCTTGGCTGCGGTCGTGGCACGTGTAGACCATATTTTTATATCTAGCGGAAAACTTGCGCGTCGACTGCGCATGTGCAAGATAATTGACTAGGTATATCTAGTAGGTAGGAAAAAACTTTCCCCTTTCAATTTGTTCAGCTCAAAACAATAAATATCAATTGTTCTGGAAAGCTATTTTCATCTATATTTGTTTAAGATTAATGATATATTACTACGGAGCCCCTAAGAGGTCAGGGTTTTTTTTATGGTTTTACGTTCCCTCGCAATAGTTTTCGGGTTCTAATAATAACAGTACTGTGTCAGTTTAAGGTACAAAGCTTAGAATTAATTGACTAATAAATATAAACCTAGACGATACATGTCCAGTGTAGTATATAGGATCGCAAAACTATTTCATCACAAGAATCGAATAGTACTTCCAATGAGAAACGTGATCGGGCAGAGGTAAATGTTAAACATATTTACTTACAAACTTTGTTAGACAAATCCTACACAGTTAAGCAGATTTACAAAAGAAAGTTATGTTTATAGTGTTAAAAACCTGAGAACACCTGCAACTTGCGGTTTTAAACCGTATCTCCTGCTTTTGCGTAAGCTTCATTCAGACCTAGGAGACGACATCGGCCCTTTACTGGTCTGGAGGAATATCTTTGCAGTACGAATGCGCCGACCGCAACCATCCACAAACTGCGGCGCGGACAACCGTCTCAAGACCGGAAGCGCACGAAAGCGGAACTAGACGCCACGTGGGCTTCCACCAGTACTGTGTGACATAACAGCTGGGGGCGTGCATTTGCAGCATCAAACTTTTTCCTGCTGACCTCATAACCACAGGCCTTACGGAAGAGGATTAGGGCCACCATGAAAATATTATTTGAATTCTGACTTTAATCTCAGAATTCTGACTTTAATTTCAGAATTCTGACTTTAATCTCAGAATTCTGACTTTAATCTCAGAATTCTGACTTTAATCTCAGAATTCTGACTTTAATCTCAGAATTCTGACTTTTTTCTCAGAATTCTGACTTTAATCTCAGAAT